CCTCGCGCAGACGGGCGACGCCTTCACGGACGACTGCATCAACGCCGTCCGCTTCCTGGCCATCGACGGCGTCGAGGCCGCAAAGTCGGGCCACCCGGGCATGCCCATGGGCATGGCCCCCGCCGCGTACGTCCTCTTTAAAAAGTTCATGAACTTCAACCCCACAAACCCCGCCTTCGTCAACAGGGATCGCTTCGTCCTCTCCGCCGGCCACGGCTCCATGCTCATCTACGCCCTCCTCTACCTCTTTGGCTATGACAGCGTCGGCCTCGACGATATTAAGGCATTCAGGCAGTTCATGTCCCGCACCCCGGGCCATCCGGAGAACTTTGAGACCAAGGGCGTCGAGGTCACCACCGGCCCGCTCGGCCAGGGTATCTGCAATGCTGTCGGCCTTGCCCTGTCGGAGGCCCACATGGCCGCCGTGTACAACAAGCCGGATGCCACCCTAATTGACAACTACACCTATGCCATCATGGGCGATGGTTGCCACATGGAAGGCATTTCCAGCGAGGCCTGCTCCCTCGCCGGCCATTGGGGTCTGGGCAAGCTCATTGCCCTCTACGATGATAACCGCATTTCCATCGACGGCAGCACCGACATCGCCTTCACGGAGGACGTCGGCGCCCGCTTCGAGGCCTACGGCTGGCAGGTCATCAACGTTGTCAACGGCAACGTCGATACCGCCGCCCTGGAGGACGCCATCGCCCAGGCCAAGGCCTGCACAGACAAGCCCACCCTCATCAAGGTCACCACCATCATCGGCTACGGCTCCCCGAACAAGGCCGACTCGCACGACTCGCACGGTGCCGCCCTCGGCACGGACGAGGTCGCCGCCACCCGCGAGGCCCTCGGCTGGAAACACGACCCCTTCCATGTCCCCTCTGAAGTCCTCGACCACTACCGCGAGAAGATCCCGGAGGGCCAGAAGATAGAGGCCGACTGGAACGCCACCTTTGCCGCCTACAAGAAAAAGTACCCCGACCTCGGCAACCAGTTTGAGACCCTCGTCCTCAAGGGAGAGATGCCCGCACAGGTCGAGAAGGCCCTCGTCAAGGCCGCCACCGACATCAAGGCGCCCATGGCCACTCGTCAGTTGTCCAACCTCATGCTCAACACCATTGCCCCGCTTCTCCCGTCCTTCATTGGAGGCTCGGCCGATCTAGCCGGCTCCAACTTGACCATCATGAAGGGCTACGGCGACTTCCAGAAGGCTACCCCCGAGGGCCGCAACCTGCGCTTTGGCGTGCGCGAGCACGCCATGGGCGCCATCGTCAACGGCATTTCGCTTTCCGGGTACAACTTGTTCCCTTACAGCGCCACCTTTTTCTGCTTCACCGACTACATGCGCGGCGCCATGCGTCTCTCCTCCCTCTCACAAGCCGGTATGATCAACGTCATGACGCATGACTCGATCTTCCTCGGTGAGGACGGCCCGACTCATCAGCCCATCGAGCATCTCGCCTCATTCCGTGCCATGCCCAACCACTACATGTATCGCCCGGCTGACCCGATTGAGACTGCCGCCTCGTATGCTGTCGGACTCGAGTCGAGGAAGACACCTACCACCATTGCCCTCACTCGTCAGAAGACAACCATTCTCGAGGGCGGCTCCTTCGAGGGCGCCAAGAAGGGTATGTACGTGCTCAGCGACAACTCGTCTGGCAACCCGGACGTCGTGCTCATCGCTACTGGTTCAGAAGTCGAGCTCATCGTCGATGCGGGCGAGATGCTGCGCAATGCCGGAAAGACTGTGCGAGTGATCTCGGCCCCATGCGTGGACCGCTTCGAGGAGCAGTCGTCAGCATACCAGGAGAGCGTACTCCCCGCGAGCTTCCCGCGAAGCAAGGCGCTCGTGTGTGAAGCAGCGACCAGCTATGGATGGCACAAGTATGCCAGCAACTTTGTCACCGTCGATCGGTTCGGTATCTCGGCACCCGGTGGTAATGACATGCGGGAGTTCTTCGGCATGACTGCCAAGAACGTGTTTGAGAAGGCTAATGCGCTGTAGATTGTTGGTCGTGTCGGCTTGATTGTTTGTGTGTGTTGCGTTTTTGTGGTAAATTTGTCAAGCCTCGGCGTGTAGGACGCGCATATGAGTGAATAGTTGTTTTACGTCGTTTTATCATCTTGTTTGCTATTGCGCGGTGCGAAGCCTTCTCTACAATACTAGTGTCTATTGGACCTTTGTCCTCATATGAGGACATTATTCGACCTATGTTTATTCTTGACTTCCGCTTCCTCCACATAGAACGGAGGTTGGATTGTGCTGTCCAGCATGGCTACTCTGACACGTGCATGTACACGTGTACATATCGTTTGTGTTTTTGGTCCATCTCCAACAATCTCCCCGCCCGTCCCACGTCGCCAGCTCGTGGCCACCCTCAGCCATTGGTACGCCTGGCGTACAGCCATTGGATGTATTGCAGGGCCCGACTGGCCTGCTCATTTCGGAGCGCAAGGTGCGCCCGGCAAGGAACCACCCCTCTCTCGCGATTTCCCGTCCCGACCAGAACGGCAATACCACCGTACCCTTGGTACTGTATAATAGACCTTGCGCCCCGCTCTGCCAGCTCCCCCACCGCGCCTCACCACCCGCGCCCCCCCTCAG